GCTTGTTCGGATTTGGCTTTTGATCATGTACAAATGCAGTACATAAAAAAATCTTTGGTGGTAGACTTGTGATGAGTTTAGTCGAAGGATAAAAGGACAAGAGAGGTTGGTGATCATGTACAAACCACCCTGACCCAATAATATTGCTCATTCGTGAAGGTCCCCACACGTCACTATGAATAAGGGTGAAAGGTTTAGATGGCTTATAAGGTTGTATGGAATAACGAGACTTTGTGTGTTTAGATAATTGCACACTTCACATTTGAAAAACCAGAATCTTTATTAAATAATGATGAAAACATCTATTTCAAATATATAAAATTTGGGTGTCATATGCGATAATCCCATAACATTACATTATTCTTATTCTTTGATGAACATGTAAGGGCAGCCGTGTATGATCTTTTATTTTGTTTTTAAAGTCTTAGGTAGTAAAGGCCTGCACTCTCCTTAGCATTGCCAATCATCTTCCCCAAATTCATATTCTGAAATTCGCACAATTTTGGTAAAAACTTAGTAGTACATCCCAAATTTTTGGTTAATTTACAGATAGACAACAAGCTGCAATTTAATTTTGGAACATGTAAAACTGAATCAAGAGTAATATCTTTGTAATAATCACCGAACCTTTACCAGCCACTTTAGAGGTAGTACCATCTGCTATTCGGACAAAAGATCCATCTTGACAGGGAGTGTATTTGGTAAATACATTGATGTCCCTAGTCATGTGATCCGATGCGCCATAATCAACAATTCATTGGTTTGTTTTCTGGTGATTAACATGAAGGACATTAGAAAAATTACCTTTTTGGGCAAGAGTAGCAGTGGAAGAAGTACTAGTGTTTTGTATTTGCTTGTTGCATCATTTTCTGCAACATCTCTATTTGTTCTTTGTTGAAAGGGCTTGCCTCTGTAGTACTTTTGGATTTGCTTTCATCAACAGCAGTAGCATATGCGCGTGTATCCTTGAATCGTGGTTTCAGATCTGTGGGTTTCTCGTGAAACACCCAACATGTTTCTTTTGTATGTCTGGGACGCTTGCAGTGATCACACCATCCTTTACCTTTCTTTGGTGAGCCTCTTGCTACAAGGGAAGAGCCTTCAATGTTTGCACTTTGACTTCCCAACATAACTTTTCTTCTACTTTCTTCCCTTCTTACTTCTGCAAATGCTTCACGAATGCTAGGGAGAGGTTTAGTTCCAAGATTTCTTCCCCTTACTTCATCTAAATTTTTATTCAGTACCAATAAAATTTGATAAATTTTATCCTTCTCGATCAATTTTTTGTAGATTTTTTCATCCTCCGGACACGCAGACTTTGTGTCAGCATAAATGTCGAGTTGTTGTCAATACTTTATGAGAGTGTGATAGTACTCAGTTACTATAGAGTCTCTTTGTTGAAGGTTATGTAAGATATTTTTGATGTAAAATATGGCTGAAGTGTTATCCATTATTGAGTAGGTCTCCTTAGATGCATTCCAGATTTCTACAGCATTGTCATAATACATGAAATTTTCACCACGCTCATTTGTCATGGAGTTGAGTAACCATGACATCACAAGACTATTTTCAGGTTTCTACTTTGCATGGTTTGAATCAGTCTTTGCTAGCTGCTTAGCATCACTGGTGATGTAGTTTTCCTTTCCCTTTCCTTGGAGGAAGAGTCAAACAAATCTGGACCATTGTGTATAATTTTGTCCATTAAGCTTGTAACATGTAGTGAGAATTGTCTCATTATGATTGAAGGTGTTTCTAGTAGCTGCCTTTGGATCATCATTTGATATGCTTGAGCTGTTTGTTTTTTCCTCCATGAGAAAATCTTTTTTTTCCTTTCTTTTGGATTAGAACTGTAGCTCTGATACCGCGTAGAAATTCGACATTTCTTATTGAATTTGTACATAATAGAATAGGATATAAATAGCATAGGGAGTACAATTAACTAAAGAAATTAATTAAATCCTAATTAACTCAAATTAATTCTTATATACAAAAATGAAAATATTCTATATGATTGTGTAAATAAGTAGAAATGTATTCATATAATACAACTATAAAATCTGTATTGCTTTCTCATATTAATGGTTGCATAGTTGTACCTTAATAGTTGCATATCAACAACCAATATTATGGACATTTACAAATATATCACTACATGACACATATTCAAATCAAATAAGTTTTACCACATATCTCAAAATCAATTCCATCAATAAACTCGTACTTATCCATTGATGATCTTAGAAACTACCTTAGTAGAAATATCACCTACTTGAAGCCTAATAGAGTCCAATCACTTTATAAATAAGAATATCCTTCAAGTATGATTACAAATCTACTCCTTCTCTATTTACTAATAGCGTGTCTAACTTAACTTAAGTATCATGGTATATTTCGAAGGTAGAAGTTATCTGTAAAATAATTGGGAGAGATTGACATAATACAACCAATGATTCAAAGATCATATCTTTTGTTCAAGTGATTCTTTTAGTAAATTCCTAAAAAAAAAACAATAATAATGTTATTTTGTTGAAATCAAGGGGGGTTAAGGGATCATGCTAGCATGGGCTAACATGGATGTGTTAAATAAAAAATATATGTCAAATAATCATATAGATTATCTGAGTATTTTGGCTCGTCTGTTATACAGTTAATAATTATTTAAACCTAAAAATAAAGATATGTTTGATAAACAATAATAAAATAGAAGACAAATTAGAAGGAATCTTATAATTGTTGAATTGAAAAGGTTCACGGAGGAGACAACCAATGGAGGTGAAGCAAGCAACACAATCTCGTGGATATGCAGGTCGTGACAAAAAAGCACGCAAATTGTGCATCCAAGTGCAAGATAAATCGTGTCTTTTACTTAAACGACACAACCAACCTTTCTTTTTCTTTCTTTCTTTAATGTATAGACTTCAAATTAGCAACTTGAAGCAACCACACCAGCATGGTGTACCATAAGCAAGCATAAAAGGCACCACTCTCTTATCACACTGCTATTTATTTTGCTGCATTGCACTTAATAACAAGTGAAAGTTGAGTTGCATGGGTTCTACTTATGTTGTTGCATTGCAAGTTGTGTTATTTTGTATCTGTTTGGTATTGGCAGATTCTGTTGACTTCAGTTATCCTGCAGTTTTCAACTTTGGTGATTCAAACTCAGACACAGGTGAACTTACTGCAGCGAAGGGCTTTCAACTACTCCCACCTAACGGAAGAAACTACTTCAAAACTCGAACTGGGAGGTTCTGCGATGGTCGTCTCATAGTCGACTTCTTGAGTAAAGTTCTAATCCTTTCGTGAAAGTTTCTTATTGTATTGTAATTATTATGTGTTCGGATAGTTCCATTTGATGTGATTTTGGTTTATCGTTGCAGTGGATGCGATGCACTTGCCGTTTTTAAATGCCTATTTGGATTCAGTTGGTTTACCGAATTTTCACGGAGGATGCAACTTTGCAGCAGCAGGTTCAACTATCCTTCCAGCAAATGCAGCATCGATCAGTCCGTTCGGCTTTGGCTCTCAGGTGTCTCAGTTTCAGTTATTCAAAGCTCGGGTTCTTGAATTTCTCGCAGGTATATGAAAGTTTATTCAAATTTCTTTACATTACTTCAGTCTCAAAAGTCAAAAGTCAAAACCAAATGCAGATTATCTGATTCATTCATGCCTAAAGAAAACTATCTCAATGATGTCTCAGGCAAGAAATTTCATAAATATGTCCCGGCCGAAGATTATTTCCAGAAGGGGTTATACATGTTTGACATAGGCCAGAATGATATTGGCGGCGCATTTTATTCAAAAGACCTGGACCAAATACTTTCTTTAATTCCAACAATTCTACTGGAATTCGAAAATGGAATAAAGGTTGGTGATATTGTGTTATCAAAATAACGATGACATTGTTACATTCTTGAGTTCTAGAGTAGAAAAATATTTCTGCTGAAATTAAAATTCATTCTCTTATATGTGATAGAGACTGTATGACAGCGGGGCTAGGAACTTTTGGATACATAACACGGGTCCGGTCGGATGCTTGGCTCAGTATATTGCCACATTTGGCAACGATCCGTCAGAGCTCGATGAACAAGGATGTCTTCGAGCACATAATCAAGCTGCTAAAGCCTTTAATCTACATCTGCAAGATTTTTGTGCTAAATTGCAGGGTCAGTATCTAGATGTAAATGTTACCTATGTTGATATCTTTACCATAAAGTATGACCTCATTGTAAACTCCTCAAAACATGGTAAGTCTAACTAGCAAAATTTCATTATTTTCTCATCGAAATTCAGATTATATGTCAGTTTCCTGTCTAACATGTTCGTGTTAAACTTGTGTGACTATTTGTTTACAGGGTTTGAACAACCTATTATGGCTTGCTGTGGATATGGAGGTCCACCATTGAACTGCGACAGTCGCGTTTCTTGTGGATTAACAAAGATCTTGAATGGAACCACAGTTACAGCAAAAGGTTGCAATGATAGTAGTGTGTATGTAAACTGGGATGGAACACATTACACTGAATCTGCAAATCAATATGTTGCATCACAAATTCTGACCGGAAACTACTCCAACACGCATTTCTCATAGAAGATATCATTCCTTCAGATGATTGTAACCTTGTATGACATTCAAGCTCTTATAAACAAATCTTATTTAAGACTGAATCAATTGACTTGTGCAAAGTTTTGTGCTTGATTGTGTTGTATGACACAGTACAAGCGATACCCTTTTTTTTTAGGGTAGGGTACGCATGATAACATGAACCCTTCTGATAAATGTTTGCATCGAGAACATAATAACTGGCATATAAAAATATTCGAACAAACATATTTTTGAAATACATTTACAAGTAAAAAAATATCTGATCTCATTTATCATTTTTCTCAAACTCAATCATAACATGAGCTCGGTTACAGACTTACAGCTGCACATTATACATCTGAATTCAAAGATAGATAACTAGGAAGACAGAACTAGTTTTGTGGCCATTATTCTCTTATTTTTTTGCTACATAAGCATAGTATTGTACCATAGGAACAACAAATGCAATGACCAGCAAACCTCCAACCACAAGAGAGAATTGTCCGCGCTTCTCTTCTGTCTCTTGCTTTGATTTGAAGTTAGACTCCCGTTTGTCTTCTTTAACTACGGGCCCGCCAGGATCTGGAAGACCGTCAATGGCAGCAACTAGCCGTTTAGCCGTGCTGTAAATCGCTTCATTGTACTTCTCATCCGTAGCCAATACTACATACAAAAACCAGACATGGATAGTATTGTGCCCCTAAGAAATGATTATAACATCTACTTATTGATTGGAACTTCAAAAGACATATAGACTAAACTGATCGGGACCGCGTGCTTCCCTATATTGTTAATCTCAAAAAGCGGCACGGCGAACCCCAAAATTTCGTCGCGGGCTCTTTTTTACTGGCATGCTGAAAACATACCAGTAAATATAAAAAATGAAGTCTTAACCAATAAAATACTTACAAATACATAATAGCATACTTCCAAATTCAAATAGCATTAAAAGGAATGAGTCTTAAACAAAATAACAGTGCAACATATTTCCAAGATAGCAATAAAATTCAAGAAAACAAACACTTCAGCGTTTAAATCTTAAAATAACTAAACATCCAAACGCTTCAGCATTTAAATCTTAAAATCTAAGTTTTCGTTATCACTTTCTCCGACACTAGCATCCTCTTCATCTTCACCAATATATTCTTGATCATCAAATTCATCATCTACTACTACCACTTCTTCATTAAGAAGTGGTAGTAGTAGATGATGAATTTGGTGAACAATAATATATTAGTGAAGCTGAGGAGGATGATAGTGTCGGAGGAAGTGATTATTATTTGAGTTGGGATGTTTAGTTATTTTAAGATTTAGATGTTTAAGTATTTGTTTTCTTAAATTTTATTGCTATTTTGGGAGTATATTGCACAGTTTTTTCTTTAAGATTTATGCATTTTAATGGTATTTGAAATTGGAAGAATGCTATTATGTATTTGAGACTATTATATTGCTTAAGATTTAAGACTTCACAAAGTTTGATTTTTTTTTTTTTTTATATTTACTAGTTTATTTTCAGCATGTAAGTGTCATTCAAAAAGCGTCCGCATCTCAAAAATGGCGGCCGCGCTGCTCCCCGCTTCCGCACCGCTCTCATTTTGGGGTTGACCGCGCCGTGCCACCTTCCGAGATTAACAAATTACTGCTTCCTGTGATATGATTTTCCGAGAAATGCAAACATATTCATCATTATAGTTATGGTAGCCCAGTGAACCTTAAATCAGAGTCTGATGCCAAATTCACTAGTACTGGCCTAAAGTAAGTACCTGGAAGGTTCTCTGAAACGGTAGCATCGAGGATTTTTTCTCCAACAGCTTGAATAAAAGCAGGGCCACCAGTAACTGCTCCTTCTTTCTGACTAGTTACAAGAACCACAACACCCTTTTCGTTTCCCTCTTCGACAGAAGGATACCAACGCTCCAAAATTTGGTCAGCAAACTCAAAAGCATCAGCTTTACTCTGCAACCAAAACCAACCACATAATAAAAATATTCAACATGTTTTGTACTGTATCATTTCAACTTATTTTCCTAAGCTTATCAGGATTTATTATAAAAATAGCTTATACATAAGAACTTATATGAAAAACATTTATGCTATAAGTGATTAATTCAGCTGTTTATCCAAACACCTTTCATAGTATCCAATTCAGTAAAATGACACATGGTTATATAACTAACCGTGAGTTTTCTGACTGTAATAAAATTGATGTGAAAATTCTTCCTTGATTCCAAATCAGACAACAACCTTTTCAAATCAGACTTGTTCACCCTACTAAGAACTCCAGCATCATCCACCACATAGGAATCTTTGGCTGGCCTCTCATTGATCACATCAAATTCAGACGCCAATGCATTGCCACTATGCAGAACTGGGCTGAAGTTAAGTGCTAAAGTGATAGCTAAAGCTGCAAGACCCTGTTGAGCATGAGCGAACCAAGATGTGGATGAAGGAAGGGATGGTGGTTTTAGAGATAAAGTTTGATTCTTTTTGAGAGATGAAACAATGGGTTTGCAGGAAAAGAGAGAATTCGGTTTGGGTTGAAGAGAAGGTGAAGGTTTGATATTGAGAAGTGGAGAGAGGGAGTTGGGAGGAAAAAGGGTTCCCATGAGGAAGATGAAGAAGGTTTGGAATGAGGAAAGGTGAAGTTGTTCTTCCTATGTTGTTCCACAACATCATTCTCGTGGTGTACTTTGATTTGGTTCGGATTTTGAGTGGTCTAAGTTTGTTGGATGTGTTTGGAAGTGGATAACGTCTATTAGCCACGTGGGTCATTTTCAATTTTCCCTATTTATTCATAAAATTAAAGAAATAAATATATTTTCTCTTCATTTGTATCTTTGAATTCATGGTATGAGATAAATCGAGTGGTAAATAATAAAACTTCATAATAATAGATGAAGTGGAATAAGATATTTTCATTTATCCTTATTTTTTATTCCATTCGAATCGGAGTGTAGGCAATAGAATATTATTAATAAAATATTCAAACAATGTGTGAGATTTATTTTCTATTTTGCTTTTTTATGTTTCATTTGTCCCGCTCCCGCTATATTATGTTGTATCAATTCTAACATAATTTTAATTCAACGTATAAAATATTAATATTATTTATATTAGATACCACATCTAAAATTTGAATATGAGAGCATCTCCAATTGTGCAACCCATTTTTAGGTTCTTTGTGGGACCCACTCTCTTAAAGCAACTCATTCAATTTTTACTCCAATGGTGCAACTCTAAAGAATCTATATTGGGTCCCACCACTTTACTTAAAAAATATTATTTATATTAAATTTATTTTATTTAAAATTATAATTTAAATATTTAAATTTTAATTAAAATGATAATTAAAATAATAAATAAAATTTTATATCAAATTATAGTTTTTATATTATAAAATTAATATTTTAATATAAGAACCATTGAAGAACCGTTGCATATTTAAGATCTTTTCCATTTTGAAAACAACAAAAATGAGGGATATGTTGGCAAACCCACTCTAAAAACTCTCATTGGAGTTGGTCTGAGACCTCATAATATGTGTGAGAGTTTTTGGAGTTTTCTATGAACCGTGTCCGTGATTATAAGATATCTACTAATAAAAATATTTAATTTGGATTTAAATAACCTTGAGAATACATTTAACTTTAACGAGTATGATAGTCTCCGACAATATTTTCCATTTATACTTTCTTTGGTGTGGTAAAAAAGAAAGGGCGGTACATGCAAACAATTGGCGCCTAAATAAGTGATTGAATAAGAAAGAGTACAACATTTTTATGTTTTTGTGAGTGTGTACTTTAATCATGACGTTTTACCCTCTTTAAAGGTAGATTCTAGGGTTTTTAGATGTCTTGATCTTTTTTCTCATGAAAAATGTCATAATATTACTCGTAATGTTATTGATTAGGTATTGTGAGTGGGTGTGCCCTTAAGATGGAACTTGATATGTTTCCACGATTTGGTGTTCATTCTTTCGCAAATCACATTTTCTCATATTTTCAATCTCGACGTCCAATATATATTTTTTTGGATAAACTACATTTTGGCGTAGACCCGTTCTTTAATAGACTGGTGTTATCCTTGCCTCAGTCAAGGTAAAATCAGTTGCCCCCGAGCTTGGCCTGGCGGAGCCGAAATGTGGCTTGTAAAATCATTAAAAAATGGGGAGGGGTGCCAAATGGACGACGATATTAATGGATACTTTATCCATATTTAACATGTCTTGTCATTTGAACTTTTGATATCCTCACCTCTCTTCGTTAAGAAATGATGGGATTTCTTGTAATCTATTTACCTTAGTCTTATGTTATTTGCCAATTTGTAGCTTTTAGTGAGATTGCCTATTACTAGACCTAATATGATTATTCTCATGGGAATCTTCATCGTCATTATTAGCCTGAGATGTTATCGGTGACATTTTCTTTTCCAATTGGTTGATTATTATTTATGTTTCTAGATTGCGGGAATTTATCTCTCTATTTTCTTTCTTTGTGAATATGAATACACTAATGTATTATATTCTTTCTTTTTCTTTCTCTTTGAGCTCTCCTTACCTTTTCCTTCTAGAAGTGTTCTTAATTTTCATTAAAGCATTTTTATTCTTTTTCAACCATCTCTACACTTTTTACAAGTAATTTTTCTTCATCCATTACTCATTAAATTTGTAGGGTATGCTATTTGTAGTATAGTTGTGGTTATAGGTTAACATGAGTGCTTTGTATTATTATCTTTTTCATGCAAATGAGGATGGTGAGTAATCATGATTTTTGTTCTTGTAAGAACAAGTTTGGTTATACATCTATACCTTTATGATTTGATGATAATAAAGTGTAGAGAACAATTTTGTACTCTAATTATGTGTGTTCAATGTGTAGATATGAGAAAACAAATTTTAACTTTGAAGAAGTCAAATATGAATACAAATAAAGTCTGAAGAAAACTGCTAAGCAGATTTTCAACTAAGGACACACTCTAAGCATAAAGAAGAAACACAAGTATGTTTAAAGCATGGTTAAGGTTCAAGATTATAAAAGTCAACTTTGATGGTCACATACTCTAAAGATAAGAAGATCATGAGAAAAAAATTTGATCAATGAAGGATCGAGACTTTACAAGACTCTGAAGAGCAATCCAAGATTTAATGAAAAGAAAAATTCAATATAAATTGTTGTTGTATGATGATCCAAAAGAGACTTTGAAGTCCGAACGTATTCAAAATCTAAATCATTGGTTTTTCTGAAGAAGTTATGAAGATACTGTCTACTTTGGTTGTTGCCAGTAAATGCTTCTGAATAAGGCACCTCTGATACATTATGTGTATTCCTAACCTTATCAAGTCCTTTGATCTTGATAGGTTCTGAACTCCGAATTTGTTATCACGTGGTGTCGACATTATTATGGAATATTTTAATAGAAGAATAGTTACTATGCATTACGCTTATCAAATGTCAAATAAAAAAGTATTGCTTCAAATGCATAGAAAAAGATTTCCTGCTAACTCAAGATTTTTTGTCATACTTACCTACTGTACTGGAGCAGTGTTTCACAAATGGTGCTCCAATCCTTATATATCTAACGGATCTATTCTTCATCCTCAACGAAAATTTTCACCATTTATTTAAAAAGGATTTGGAAGATTAGATGTTGTGTGAGAATTGAAAAGAAAATATGACGCCTAAAGGAGGAAGTACATCAGAAATGAGTGAGAGAAAAGAAAGTATTCTCAAATAATATACATACACTTAGAGTGGTCTTAGATAAATGAGAAGATATAGTATGTGTTCTCAACTCTTAAACACACTAAGAAACATACTTAAAAAATTTGGAGCTACAATAAGCAGAGACACCAAGAATGTTCTCATACATCAAAGGATCAACTGTAAAAGCACATAAAAGAAGAACATATGTGCAAAAGTAAGAGAGAAGAGAAAGGAAACACTTAGAATCTCAACATTTTATATCTAGCTTAAGTGTACATTCTGATTGTAAATTTATGTAATCTGCTTAACTAAAAAGCACACATCTAAAGCCAAAATTGTTATAACCTAGTCTGATTATGTTCCTCAAGCGACCAGGTTGATCAGACCCTTGAGAAGTCATTGAAAGATAGTCATTGAGGGAGAAATCTTCTTAAGTGACCAAGTAGGTCAGGTATTAAGGAGTTAGTGATCGTTGGGTTTCTTAAGCGACCAGGTAGGCCAGACTTTTGAGGTAATCAACAACAAATTGTCACTTTTTTGTAATCATGATTTGATTGGATTAAGTCCTTGTCTAAGGAAAATCTCTTGATATGTGGACTGGATGTAACCTAGTTAATGGAAAACCAAGATAAAAACACTTATGTTCATATGGTTATCATTATCGTTGTTGCTAAATAGATTGGGGGAAGAAAATATTTTCAAATTGAAAACCCAATTCAAACCCCCCATTTCTTGTGTTTTCTACACCTTTAATTGGTATCATAATGGTTTCTCCATTTGACAAATCATTTGTTAGTTAGTTATTGTAGGTCCACATCATCATCCATGTTTACTGGGCGAATGGACAAAGAGAGCCAACTATAGGCAGCCTCGCGACCTCCTTCAAGGCAACCATTTGGCTTATTTGGACGACCCTTGGCTTTGCCGAGTAACTCGCCGTGACGCCTAACCTTCCTTCTTTTCCGTGGACTTTCCCCTCTTAGGGGCCTAATAAAATTAATATCCATATAATAAAAAATCATAATCTATGCTTGAGAATAAGGCAAAACATGTTGGTATCCTCATCATATCCCGATCAATATCTAATACAAAAAAGAGACGGTTTTCCCTCCACGTCAATTTTCATTAATGAAAGTTAAATTAGGAACTGCATGGATGGAAAATTTTAGAGGAATTATTATTAGAAATCTATTAACTAAAAACAAAAGCTGATGTTTAGAGTGACAAAAACATATTTAACTTTGCCTATTTTCTAAAAATGTACAATAAGGATAACCCTGTATTTGGAGGGTTGTATGTGATCTTTATGGTTGTTGATGGTGTTTAGAGTTAGCTCACGCGGTATGATGATGAGCTATGTATCTGAGAATTTTGGTGATTGATGATCTCCTTTTTTAATTATAGGATTGAGATATTTGTAGAGGTCTGATCAGTGCATTTTGATGCACCTTCCTCTATGTTTAGACTTAAGCATTTCTATATTTTAGTTTGTTTAATTTACTATTTTAGGATGTTTTTACTAATTCAATTTATTTTCAGCCTTATTTGATTTTCGTTTGTTATTTTCAGCATTAGTAGCTTTTAATAAAAAAAATCATAACTGGGGCTACAAGAATCAGATCGAGGCGTTATACCAGTCGTTGGAAAGTTAAGAAAAAGATCTACAACCTTCATGTTGCACGAAAAAGCTGATTCAGATTGCTTGAGTCTCGAATAATTCGTTGAAGTTATGACTGTAATAATTTAGTTGTTTTTCTCTATTGGGTCTGGTTTAGGTTTCCGACCTAGTTGAGTGTGTAATGCAAACCTCATTCTGTTTATAAGGTTGTTGCCGTGCTACAGTGACGGCTACCCTAATTTTTTCCGAATTTTATTTTGCTTTCATATTTTCCATGACGAACTAATCCTGAGGGAAAATCTGCCGGTTTTGAATCCTGTAATCCTTTGAGGTTTATTTTAATTCCAATTTAATTTAATCTCGTTCCAATTCGTTTTATAGCTTCGTTTGCTTAATTCGTAATTATAAGATAAATTGGATTTAATTCGATCCATCAATGTTCCTTAACTAAATCGCAGATTAACTTATCTTTTTCGTTAGTTTGCGTCATCTTTAACCGTTTGCTTAATTCGGTAATTAGGAATATAAGTCGTGTGGTATTGTTGATACTTGTTTGATAATATTGCAATCGAATAGGGATTTGAACCGCTTGGGAATTGGAATTGTAATAACCGATGATAAGTTGAGAGTCGAACCAGTAGATTTACCTGTTTTAATCACTTATTTCAAAATCACTTATTTTACTGCTTATTTTCGTAACCGAATCGTAAATTAAACCTCCCATAATCGTTTTCAATTGGCTATTTTATAAATAAGAATCCTTGTGAATCGATTTTCGAGTTACTGTCGCTTTACTACGGTTTTTCAAATCACTCGATTATAATCCGCGCGCGACAGCGGATCAAGGTCTCATGGGGTTGGATCTTTGGACACAAGGAATGGTTATTCGACTCCTCTTTGAAGAGTGCGGGACATCAAAATTGTTATTCTCCTATTATTCTAGAGAACATGGTTTTGCATTTTGACTTAACTTTCTATACCGTTAGTGCATAAAGACACGTACTTTCCACGTTTTATAATTAGGTGAGGTACGATCTGACCAAAACCCAATATAGGCGAGTGCTGTGATCAACGAGCCACTAGAAACCAAACATTAAACGATATATGGTGTTACTTTTATGGAGTATCCGACTTATCTTGATTCCCTTTGAATTATCAAGTGCAACAAAATTAACCTCTCTTACACACTATATTTTAACACAAAATAAATTACTGAAAATTGCATTTTAGCCTAGGATTGAGAAAGTTAAATAAATTTCTCATTCCCACTATACTTCTAATATTTACCTGTCCTTCTCATCGGAGTACTTTATTCTACTCAAATCACACCCCTTCTTTAATAACCAACAAACACTCATGATAAGTGTCTCCATGCTCTTTCATCAATGGCCATTCTTTTATCCACACTTCCCAAACTTGGCATTGCCAATTCCAAATCCTTCATCTCTTTCACCTCAAAACCCATAAACTCTACCCTCAACAACCCCACTTCCAAACGCCACCTTATCCTCCGAACTTCTTTACTCTGCATTGGCATTTCCCTAACTCCTCAACTCCCACCCGCTCTATCTTCTTCTCAACCCCCTTCTTCTTCAACCAATTCCGTTCTTTCTAGCATTGAAGATACCAGTTCTTGGTTCCGATTTTATGGCGATGGCTTCGCTGTTCGAGTCCCACCAGAGTTTCAAGATGTCATGGAACCAGAGGTACATTCATTCTGAAACTGTCCTTATTATCAATTTCGAGAATTCATATTCAAGTTTATAGCTTTTGATTAGGAAGAACTAGTAATGAATGACAGATTGCAATATGTAATGTTTGGATTGATGAAATAGAGTCATGCAATTGCAGAATAATGACAAAATGTGATGAATGATTACAAGTAGTAAAGACTTGATTTTGATGATTACTAGTAACGAATTTTCGATTAACAGAAAACTATTATCAGCCACTACTCGCTGTAATTGGTCTATCTAACGAACCTTTGTAATTCATTTTTCAGAACTTGCTTCTGAAAAATAATCATATTAAAGCATTATGAGATTTTCAGTTTGCTGAGCTTATCTTCCGTTTGTTTGTAGGATTTTAATGCTGGAACGTCTCTTTATGGGGATAGGGCAAAGGAGAAGGAAGTCGTAGCACGATTTGTATCTTCAGATGGGTAATTTTTATTATCAAACTCCTAACTCTCTACTTTCATATTATGCACTTATGTATATGTTTTGAAGGAAACATAAGCACGTCGTCCATGATTGTAACAGATCAGAGGCTGTGAATGTTATTACACGGCGGGCCAGTCAAGTTAAAATCACCTTTTTAGAGGTAATCAGACATTCAAGGACATTTTGTTTTACTCATTAATATATTCACCCTCTATTAGGCATACGTCAAGTCTTGATTTGCATAATTTTAGTTTTTGGAATCTCATATTGGCATTCTCTAAGGAGAACATGTGTGTGTATATATCAGCGCCATTGTGTTTCTATACCTCAAATCACTAACATAGATTAGATCCAGTTGTCCTATTTTTGAGTCTTGGTATAAGATCAATGAAGGAACTTACATATTCTTCATTGTAGTAGGTTCAGGATATATCTGGTTTAGGCTCCTTGAAGGAAGCAGAAAAATTATTTATTCCAGGTGCAATTTTGCTTTGATTTCGGCACGATTTTGTAGATTCTCAATGTTTCTTTTGTTCTGAGTTTATCTTTATGGTATAGTTTTGTTTTAAATGATATGAATACTTCATTGCTCTTTTTATTTACTCTTAGTTCTTGGTTTCGGTGTCTCATTTCGCCCACGATGTACTTGCAGGAGGGTCAACGGTTTACTCTGCAAGATCAATAAAAGTTCAGGAAGAAGGTGGTTTTAGGTAAGCTCATTTTCAATCTTTTTCATTAATATTTTTTAAGAAAAAGAAACAAGCTATCCGAGAAAAGAAGGTTTGGCCTATAAATAAACAGCATTCTAAGACATTGTTTCTTATTTTCATACTCAAAATGCTAGTATGGAAAACTCACCACGTGTATTAATCTTTTAAGCAATTCTTTATGTCATATGGACCTGCCACTTTGAGTTTCTCCGGTACACTAAATTCCAAAACAATGTCTACTTTTCTAATTTCAGGACTTACTATTTCTATGAATTTGGTAAAGATGACATTCACTTAGCATTGATGGCAGGCGCAAGAGGTGGAAAGGTTTGTTACTACATATTTTACTAACACAAAATATCAAGTTGGGTATGCAATGTCTGGATTATAGTATACGTCACCAACTTTTGCTAGTTGAACCAGTTACCAATACAGCAAATTCTCACATTTCTGTGGTAATACATGATTTCAATCCCCTCCTCGTGTGAATGTTCCCATGAGGGCGTCAAGTGCAGGATCTCACCATTAAAACTCGTCCAATCCGTCTCACGTGGATTTTGGTAGTGGATCCCCCACTTGACCCCTCATATGAAATCCCCACTAAGGGGATCCAATACATGCCTATATCATTTTTATATTTTAAAGAACATAAAATACAGAAAAATAAATTGTCGTGTCATTTTATTCTATAGGTTATAATTGCTGGTGCAACTGCACCACAGGACAAGTGGGACACTGATGATGGTGTAAAACTTCGTTCTGCTGTTATGTCACTGACAATTCTGTAGCCATGTCTTGAAATTTTGTGACCGGGTATGCCAACATTTTTGTATCATGCAACATCGTTCGCTATTTTAAGCCGAAATTTATATATAAACTTGGAGTATAGAAGATCACCAATTTCCTTGTAATGAGACTATTTTTGTAGTGTGTATGTATTCCAAAACATTCTATTATATTCAAAATGTTTCTCAGTGCAAAGACGGTTGGAGATGTGTTCACCTGCTTCATACTATAGCTTAGTGCTTATGTATGTCATTAATATGATAAACAGATAACAATTCTATTGTATGACAAGAAGTGTTACTTCTTGTACTAATTCGCTTGTGTAGCATTACAGTTTCTAGCTTCCATATTTATGTTTCCTTTTTAGCTGTTCTTTACTTCTGATGCATGATCAAGTAACTTTGTAACATTTGATGGATGTAATTCGTTAAGGATGCACAAAAATTTTGTTACTAATTACTGAGATATGATTCTCACGAATTGGTATCAGCAAGATTATCTCACCCGATCAAAACATAATATTTTTATTTTGTCAATGAGGCTTAGTCACTTTTTTAATATGGAATATTTGGTTACTTTTAAACCATATTTACAGCTTCAAAGTAATTGCAGTGTAAAACTGCTTAATCTTTCCAATCTTATGATAATGATGAACACGAGGCAGGACTAAATAGCTTGCACCAAATTACAGATTTATGGTATAATCACTTCTGTGTTGCAGCTTGGTGCAAACTAAAACAACTTATGTAGCAATATCATTGTCATCAAGGTATGCCAAATTGGTTTACACCACACTGGTCAGAAATCAGAATGTTAGATGACTCTTAAGATTGAAACAAGTTCCATTTCAACCCAAAAAATACAGATATATAAGACTGGTAGTTGGTTTCACACTCAACAACCAAACTACACCCCTTAGACCATCTCCAACGGTGGTTCTTCAAATTGGTTTGCCAACTTGGCATTAAAATTGTCAACAAAAAGTTGTTCCAGCTGGTGAACGTTCCTTGCATAAGCAACGGTTCTTCATTTTTTTTATTATTAAAATAATTATTTAACTTGTTGGTTTTATTTTTTATTTTAACTTTTTTATTTATTATAAATATAAGTTTGTTGCAAAAATTTATAACAATCCTATTTTCTCTCACTTTTATTTACTCTTTAATTTTAAATTTCTCTCTCACAATTTCATCATTTTATTCATAAATTATTATTTTCAATTTTATGTTTAATTTTAATTTTATGTTTAGTTTATATTTATAGTAATTAAAATTTAAATATTTAAATTATAATTTTAAATAAAATAAATTTAATATAAATAATATATTTAAGTAAAGTAGTGGGACCCAATATGGGTTCTTTGAAGTTGCACCATTGGAGTAAAAATTGAATAAGTTATTTTAGAAGAATGGGTCCCACAAAGAACCTAAAAATGGGTTGCACCATTGGAGGTGCTCTTACATATCATGCATTTATTGAAATTAAAGTTCTTAAAAATATCTGACAGTTATTTCACTGGTATATATAGAACCGAGCGAACCAATGTTATTAAAAACTAACCCCATTTTATAACAGTAATCCCAAAACAGTATGTTTCTTCATCAATTCCTCCATTAATCATAGTAAACATCAACAAATTCATCATAACTCTACTGAGAAATGAAAAGGGACTCATTCTCAACTTGAGCGAGTGAAAGAATGATTACAATATATATGTTACCCTCACCACTTGATTCTTCAAATTCATATCTAAGCACAAGCACTATTGTTGCACTTTGCGTATTCTTTGCGCTCCTCTGTGCTTGCATCATCTTAGGCCACCTTCTTGAAGAGAATCGATGGGCCAATGAATCCATCACTGCCCTCCTTCTTGTACAAACTGAGCTCATTCTTCATCTTCTCTCCACTTACAATTATGTTGCTTTCTATTTCAAAAATTTCTTTAATTGGTTAATTGAGTGCAGGGTTTGTGTTCTGGTGTGGTGGTGTTGTTGGTGACCAAGTTTCATAGTACCAAGTTTCTAATATTCAATGAAGACTTGTTCTTTCTTTACTTGCTTCCACCAATCATTTTCAACGCCGGGTACCTACGATAGATTATTATCATCCCTCTCTATCTCTTTATGCACTTCATATTTTATTTCTTTTTGTACGATTTTTAATACCATTTCAGTTTCCAAGTAAAAAAGAAACAGTTCTTCAAGAATTTCACTACTATTCTTCTGTTTGGTGTCCTTGGAACAGTTATTTCTTTCTGTCTCGTATCTCTTGGTAAGATCACTGTTTATCAACCCTCTCAAGTTTCTAATTGTTTTCCGAACCGAAAAAAAGTTTCTTTCACTGTCAATTAATGAACCTACGTGGAATGAATAGAATGAACACTCAATATAGTTTTCTATTTCTGCAACTTCTCTAGGTGCCTTTCTACTCTTTAACAGGATTGGCATAACTAACCTCAGCATAAAAGATCACCTAGGTGAGACATCTTTATTTTAAAGCACTTTCTGTCCATCTATCTCTTTCGATCTAATCATCGTCTTCCCTCTTCTGATTGTTCATGAACCTTACATGTGAAGCCATTGGGGCCATACTATCAGCAACTGACTCAGTTTGTACATTACAGGTATATATAATATTCTAACCTCGGCTCAAACATAAATTCACATTTTGATCATTTAACGACTTTCTTTTCCTTTTTACGATGAAGGTTCTGAGTCAAGACGAAACACCTTTTCTTTACAGCATTGTATTTGGCGAAGGAGTAGTAAATGACGCCACGTCCATTGTTCTTTTCAATTCAGTCCAATCACTTAACTTCAGCAGTATCAATGCTATTACAGCCTTGAAATTGTTGGGGACCTTCCTTTACCTCTTCTGCACTAGTACCGCTCTTGGCACAATTGTAAGTTCAAATCGAAATCTACAATTGATGAGAGTGGTGACGCAGTTCTATTCTGACTTGCTATATGACGACTTTTCAGGTTGGCCTTTTAAGTGCTTATATTATTAGAACACTTTATTTTGGGAGGTATGATCAAAACTCTAGAGTGTAACAAGTGCTTAACAAAGTCTGAATGTTGCGCATCTGACATAGATTCTTTTATTTTCAGGCACTCTACCGATCGTGAAGTTGCACTTATGATGTTAATGGCATATCTATCGTATATGATTGCCGAGGTAATCTTAACCAGAAAACAGCATCATAAATGCAACGGCTCAGTTTGTAATTTAAAGCTATATACATTTGTGTGGCTTTTGCAGCTTTTGAATCTCAGCGGAATTTTGACTATTTTCTTCTGTGGCATTGTTATGTCACACTACACGTGGCACAATGTTACAGGAAACTCAAGGACAACAACCAAGTAAGGAAAATATTAACATATATTGATGTTGATCAATCTGTTAAGATCTGAATGCAATGACAATTACGAACATTTTTATCAAAATTGGTTAAACCGTTTCATTCTACAGGAGCATTTTCTCCTCTCTTTTTTCTGACAGTTATTGAACAACCAGCAATCTAAACTTTGTTTTGGTACTGATTGCATTGAATCTTAATTTACAAAATACGTTTGCAATTTCAGGCATTCCTTTGCAACTCTCTCGTTCATAGCGGAAACCTTTATATTTCTATATGTTGGCATGGATGCTCTAGACATTGACAAATGGAAAAAAAGCAAAGCTAGGTAGCTGAAAACATCTCTAGTTCACACTTTAGTGTATTCCCATTCTTTTCATCAAATAAAACACAATCATAAACCAATGGTTGATTGTTCTATTTTTGATTTCAATCATTTTCTTACCACATTATCATGTTGGAGCAGCATAGGAACTTCAGTTGCTGTCAGCTCAACTTTGATTTCATTAGTTTTGATTGGAAGAGCAGCCTTTGTTTTCCCTATTGCAAACATTGCAAATTGCATCAAAACAAGAGATAGCACAAAAATTGAGTTTCAATCACAGGTAGTTAATTACTGACTAACACCAATACTGCAAATTGAAAGAGTGTTCGATACATGCTAATGTCTAACACCGACACATGTGATTACATTCAATCACATCTATTTTGTTAATTATTACCAATGTTGACGTATCATGTCCTGTGTCCGTGTCTGTATCAGTACTTCAGTACTTCGTAGATCATCAATGTTGCCTTCTAGTTCTCTTAAGTGCTAACATTTTCAGTTAACTTCACTGAATTTCTATTGAATTGTTCAAAATGTCAGTTTATAATATGGTGGGCAGGCTTGATGAGAGGTGCCGTGACCATTGCCTTGTCTTATAATCAGGCAAGCATGTGCTTTAACTTCGATCTTTGCTGAAAATTCTCTTTAAATCAGACATTTGATCTGCGCTGCTTTCAAGTGCAGTTTTCAAAATCTGAGATAGCATCCGCTGAAAGCTCTGCATTAATGATCACCTCAACTATAATCCTCGTCTTATTCAGTACCGTGGTGAGTTTTCGTGTTGTTGTACAGAATGTGAATCACATTAGAATCACATAAATACTAATTCGGTAGTTTTCGTTGCCAACGAAAACAAAATGCAAACAGGTATTTGGTTCCATAACAAAGCCTTTGATTGAGGCTGTGAAGTTAAGGCATTCAAAACCAGCCATTTCTGGCTCCACTGATAATCAAGAGGATATGGGATTACTATTCCTTGAAAGCAATTGTTCCGTCAACCAAAGCATCGATCAGCCATATCATAGACGAAGTACTCTGAGTTTGCTGATGCGTTATCCTACTACTACGGTTCACTACTTTTGGAGGAAATTCGATGATAAGTTTATGAGACCTGTATTTGGTGGTAGAGGTTTTGTTTCGGTACCTCCTGGTTCACCGCCGGCTGAAGACGAGGTTTCTTTGAATACAACGTTAGTGGTAGTAGCAGTGGTATTGTTATTTTTATCATGAATCAATATTTTAAGATCTTGTTTTGTCTTAACTCGGGACATTGCGACATACAACTGACCATGACTAAATACATCATTTGGCAGGTATAAACCAACTACGTCTAACGATTGACCTTGTGATTTGTTAATTGTCATGGCGAAAGAAACACTAATGGGGAATTGTCTTCTCACTAACTTAAAAGGCCATGGTGACTGGGATGAAGACAAAGACATTCTTGGAATATAAATGATGTTACCTATATTCTTTCCTGAAATGATTCTAGCTTCAATAACATGATTAGCCAACCTTGTAACCGTGAGCCTTGTACCATTGCATAAACCTTCGGGTTGATCTACGTTTCTCATCAACATAATTGTGGCACCAATCTTCAACTTTATAGAATGATTAGGCAATCCATAAGTTTTAAGAGCATTTAGAAATTCAGCAGTTAAGTGCTTAAATGCATCAAAATCGGTTGCTGTTGATCTATCAATAGAATCACTACTAAAGTATTCCTTTTCTTCTCCTAAAAGGAAAAAAAAAATAGACAAATGATAAAACAATTTAAAAATGAAGTCGTATATGAAAATAACATGAAAACAACTTAACGACATGTATAGTACCTGGAAGAAGATCTGTGATATATTGATTAATCTCATCGACAATTTCAATTGTTGAAGCCAAGATAGCACGACTTTGTAAAAAATTGGGGTCATGATAGTTATGAATGAGATCGGGATAGGTACTAACAACAATAGCCTTAATAGGATGTGGAAATTTTGAAATTAAAAATTCTTCAGGAATATTAATTTCAACATAACCATCATTAGCCGCACCCATGGTACCATCTCCAATAGCTAAAATCCACTCAGAAAATATACGAACTTCTTCAATGTGTTGTGAATTTGTCCCACTTTGTAGGCGCATATTTTTTGTAAGCTTGAGGACTTTGCACTAATCCCAAATATAAGAAGCATTGATGGTTGAATGAATAATATCAGATCTACTACCTCTTGGAATAACGGGAAGGATTTGTCTAAAATCACCACCAAAAATAACTACTTTGCCTCCAAATAATTTATTTGTAGCCTGTGAAAGCGTTCAAGTTCGGCGAATGTTGGTAGCAAATATTCGCTTTGTGAGCGAGTAATTGGCATACAATCGATGAACGAGTAAAAGGGAAATAAAATAGTGAACCTAGTCTATCCTGCGTAACAAAGGTTTACACTATTGACTAAACGGGTCCCCGGCAACGGCGCCAAAAACTTGATCGCGACTTTCTGAGTCTAACCTTAACTGACTGCAAGTGCACAGTCTATCGCGTAGTAATAAAAGATATCGATCCCACAGGGACTCGTAATCAAACTAGTGTTCTCGGGCGTTACTATGTTTAGCTAGGTTGGATATGATTTAAGGGAAAAGATGCAAAAATAAAGGCTAAAGTAAAGAAAGGCTAAAAGGTTTCTTAGAATATTAATACAGGGAATCGGTATGCAATGACTTAGTTCTTCGAGGATTCGACAAGTTAGCGGTGTGGTTTAATAATTTCAAAATAGTTTTCAGAAGAAAATAACGGTTTAAAGACCTTTGTCTCACGTTGGTTGTTGACGCTAGTCGCAACTCTAAGGCGGAACGTATGCTTTCGCTATCTCGTTTGGGGTTTAAATTACTTTTTGAAAACCATTGAGTTCTAATCTCTTTTAAAGCGTTTTCGCTGTATTTAAAAAAGATGCCTAGTTTTTACTATCTGGTCCTAGCCTCAGCTTTCGCATGTCGGTTCATACCTTAAAGAATCTCCCACTGTCGTGGCGAGATTAATCTAAACAAATTCTCGTTGTCGCGACGAAGTTTGGTTTAACAAATTCAGATTAAAAACTATGGCCAGAAACAAGTTTGAAAAAGTGAAAATACGTCGGTTCTTATCGAATCTCGTCCTACTAATTCGTTACATACCGATCAATACGGTTTAGCTAGACATGAATCTTAAGGCAGACATAATTAAATTAAAGCAACAGAATATGTAAACATACATTATAAAGCAAAATTAATTAATTAATAATAATGGAACCTGTAAATAATTCTGCTTCGGCACTTGGATAATCCCCCACAATGTCGGCAGGATTACTTTGGTGACGATTAACGTACAGAAAGTTTAAAGAACAAAAGGTACAACTGAATTCTTAAAGGAAAATAAAGGAAAACAAGCAGAAACAAAGTAAAGGCTTTTTGTAGTAAATTGGGCAGCACTTCGTGGTCTTCAATGCGGCTCCCCTATTCCAGTCCTCAAGCTCTCCTTTTATAGTGAATGTTTCCTCTGTGAAATGCCTCAGAAAGTGTAGTTGAGGGTGAGAGAATCCAGGGAGTCGTGATTCTATTTTTGGGCTTCTGCTGCACGTTCTCAGAAGTGGAAGTTAAGCTGAATTTTGCAAGTGTGACGGTCGTAAGGAGTGCATGACGTTCGTGGAGCTCATGACGTTCGTGACGTACATGACGGTCGTCACACACGTGACGGTCGTAAGGGACCTGTGACAACCGTCATATCAGCAAAATTCCTTTTTGTTAATTCTTCGTCGTTTTTCTTCTGTTTTGTGTCTTCTAGTACTTGTTTTCCTTGTCTTGCTTCATTTGAGTGTTAACTTCGTAAACCTGCAGAGTACTTAACAAACAGTGCAAAGAGGGTCCGAAATCGGGGTGAAATCGACCATTAGTAGCATAAAATCATGGCATTTAATATATACCTTTTCGCGTTATCAAACTCCCCTAAACTTGAATCTTTGCTTGTCCTCAAGCAAAAAGCATAAGAGCTGAGACGATGCAGTTGCACGTTGCGTTCCTTTGCATTTTCAAAGTAGCTTCAGAGGCGATGAGTCGGGAAGTCGGAGAGGATTTATAACAACACGCATACGACAGTGACACTAAGCAGTAAGCTCTCGAAGGCCTCCTTCTTATACGAGCCGGTTCCAATCATGCTGCTGTAGCTCGGCGTAAAGTTCATCGTACCAAGTTTTACCCAGTTTCGTTCCAGCGCAATCACATTAAGCCCTTTACCTCTTTGCACGCACGTAGTGGAATAAGCTGTTAGTGATTTCGGTCTTTTCTTTATACGGGGTCTGGTGCATGAGTGCGGTACCCTATGATATGTCCTCTTTGTAAGCTGTGGGGAATCAAACCATAATTCACCCTACCGAGTCCATAACCAGAGACCTATGGACCAACTGACAGAGAACTTCTTTTCTTTATGAGCTTATTTTTTATTTTGTTATTTCGAGATATCAGAGGTAGATAATCACTACATGGCTGCAGAGCAATTCTTTTCTTTATGATCTTACCGATCACTTATTTGCATCACTTTCCACGTGGTATGTGCTTAAGGCGGTGTTGACTGCTTGTATAAACTACTGAGCGCTTCGCTTGGTGCTTGAACCTGAGGCTTTGGTACAGTAGGTAGTGGAATTGACTCGCATAAACCGTAGGTCTAAGGTGTCAAAGCGGTATGGGCGTCGTTAGAAATCGTTCTCGAGGTTCCTTGACTCGGCCTTAATCTTGGCGCATTAGGTGTTGCATCGGTTTTTGGAAAAAAAATTGTATAGCTCGAGGAAAACGGATAAAGCGGGGGAAGCTCTCGTAACGGAAATGAATATAAAAAAATGCGCTTTATTGTACTGAATTGAAATGACTGGATTAAATTAATTGAAATGGAAATAGAGTACATAATAGAAATGGATGGAAATAAAGTGCTGCTCCCACACCATCTCAAGCAGTGTCCTCACTGCTTTGAAACGAATGTGGAAGGTGTACAACAACAGAAAGGAAAATGCGAAAAATAAATGTACACTACTCTCTGTCTCGTCCTCTTCCGCGATGTCGTCCGCCTCTGGTCACGGGGTGCAGAGCGTCGGTGTGAAAAATAGCGTCGTGTAGGTCGTCCACACGGATGTTTAGAGCGGCCATCTCGTCAACTACGTTGTTGAGGCGTTCCCCTTGGGCTATCAACAAATCTATTACCTGCTGGTGTTGCTCTTGGTAACGACGTTCGAGCAGGGTTGCGGTCTCGTTCTGTTTCCAAATGCTGTGAAGGATCTCTTCGTTGGTTACTTCAGTTTCAGGACAGCAGCGACGACGGGAGGAAGGACCTACAGGAGGTGGTTGCTGAGGAGCTTCAACCTGAGCAGCTCGGTCCAATTCTTCCTGTACCTCATCAACGGGCACTTGAATATTTTCTTGAGGTGCTGCAGCATTAGCCTCTGGTGCCGCTGGATCAAAGAGTCTGTTGGCTCTGTGCTGAGGGTGGGCTCGGTCTCGGTATGGTAGGATTATGATGCGAATAGTGCGGTTGCGAACCACCGGATGATAACTTCCGCCGGCTCGGACCTTGATGAGGTGGGAGGAACCGTAGTAGTCGATATCGAGGAAAACTGGAGGCAGGGACAGGAGGTCCTGGAGGCGATTACCAAGGTCGAGGGACACGACAATGGAAGTGACGATACCTCCGAAGTAGAAAGGCTTTAAGCCTCGACCACAGTTTGCCTGGATGTGGGCCAACAGAAACGGGGCGGCGTTGATGGCTTCCGGAGCAAAGACGCATTGCAGAAAAAACAGCTCCTTGGAGTTAACCTTGTGGTTGCTATCTTGTGCAAAGATAGTGTTACTGAGCACCCGGTGAAAGTAGCGAATGGAGGGGTGGTGAATGTATGTGGCATTTAAGCTGTCCCAGCTATCAACGATGGTGCCGGTAAGTTGGTTCCAAAGTGTGAATGCTTCCTGAAAGAATTGCTCTGAGGGAACACGACAGTGAGCATCGGCACCATGGTGGAATTGTAGCTTCTGAGCAAGATGAGTTTGGTTGAGCTGATATTTGTGTCCAAACAGTCGGAAACAGGCAACACCAGTGAGCTGGTTAGTTTCGCCGGTGGGGTTGATGTACGAGAACGAACTCAGGAACTCCAGGGTTAACTGTTTGTACGTTGGCTGCGGGGTTGTGCAGAGAAACCAAAGGCCGGCATTCTGCAGCATCCATTGGT